TAAACTCTGGAATTCATTTTCCCATCAATGACAACAATCCGTCCAGGCCCTGAGGCAGCAAAGCAGCCCCAAACCATGATGCTCCCTCCGACATGTTTTACAGTGGGGATGAGGTTTTGATGTTGGTGTGCTGTGCCTTTTTTTCTCCACACATAGTGTTGTGTGTTCTTCCCAAACAACTCAATCTTGGTTTCATCTGTCCACAGTATATTTTGCCAGTAGTGCTGTGGAACATCCAGGTGCCCTTTTGCAAACTTCAAACGTGCTGCAATATTCTTTTTGGACAGCAATGGCTTCCTCCGTGGTGTCCTCTCATGTACTCCATTCTTGTTTAATGTTTTCCTTATTGTAGAAGTGTCAACAAAAATGTTAGCATGTGCCAGAGATTTCTGTAGGTCTTTAGCTGACACTCTGGGATTCTTCTTTACCTCATGCAGCATTCTGCGCTGTGCTCTTGCAGTCATTTTTACAGGACGACAACGCCTAGGGAGAGTAGCAACAGTGCTAAACTTTCTCCATTTGTAGACAGTCTGTCTTACCGTGGACACATGAACATCAAGGCTTTTGGAGATACTTTTGTAACCCTTTCCAGCTTCATGCAAGTCAACAATTCTTGATCGTAGGTCTTCTGAGAGCTCTTTTCTGCGAGGCATGGTTCACATCAGACAGTGCTTCTTGAAACCAGTAAACCCAAAACAGGTGTGTGTTTTTTAAGGGCAGGACAGATGTCAGCAACACATCCAATATCATCACACTGATTGGAGTCAAGGTTGGCTCACTCCTGGCTCCAATTAGCTCTGGGAGAAGTCATTAAGCTAGGGCCTCACATACTTTTTCCTCCCTGCACTGTGAATGTTTACATGTTATGTGCAATTAAACCATGGCAACATCTAATGTTTGTGTAGTATTATGTTCAGCAGACTGTGTTCTTCTATTGTTGTGACTTAGATGATGTTCAGAGCACATTTTATGCCCAATTCATGCAAAACTCCACGTACTCCCAAGGGGTTCACATACTTTTTCTTGCAACTGTACCTTTTTTCTTGTATATTCAAAAGGACTTAAAAAACATTCATGTCAGGCAAAGAAGCGTATGACAAACAGTGCCTAATGAATATGCCAAATTCCTTGGGGCCGAGCTTATGCAAATATGCAGCCTCTCAGGAGCTGGGCCTTGGCGCCAAGGGGCCGCATATTTGCATACCCAATGTAAACAAAAGATGTGCTGAGATCACATGCCCCACGTGCTCTTAGCACATTTACCAGTGCCTCTCGGAAAGGTCCTGATCGCTACTTGTGGTCAGAAGCTTTCTGATCATGTCACCGCCGTGACAGCCATCATAATGACTCTAAACCCTACCCCGCTTCCTGGCATCACAAACCCCTTAAAGAGGGAGGCGCTGGCGCCAGGGGGGTTAAATATGTTATTTTTTTAAATTATTGTGAGTAAATGAGCAGATCTGTATGATGAATGTTTTTACTGGGTAGGAATATCACTTTTGAATGAAGTTATGTTCTGTCCAATGACTAGCTTGTAAAACAAAGCTGCTGGAGGGCATGCGCAGCCGGCTCTGAGGATGGACACTCAGTGAGGAGAGCTCCATCCCCAGCCAGCATGATCTCCGCACACTAAAGCCCCAGGGAATATAAACAACAGCAGCTGAAACATTAACCCCTCGCCATCCGACAGGGCTATGACCCGACATCGGAAAACGCCAGGACACCCTGGTAAAATGACCAGTTTCTTTCCTGCTCTCGGCCCCAGCAGCCAAGATGCCGCCGGCTGCATGCTAAACGGCCACTCAACACAGCCAGCACAGCAGGGAGAGAACACAGATCTCCAGGCAGCATACATTCCAGACTCCAGGCTGAAGGGATCGCTGTATCCAGGGGATCCTGGTGAGTCTTCTCTCCCCCGTCTTCTACGTCCACCAGCCTGGCAAAATCCAGACCAAGACTGGACACAGGTTCACCCCCTGACAGACAGCCTTCTTTCTCAGCTACTATTCTATCAGCTAAAGCTCCATCTTTAATCGAATCCTATCCTGCTTCTGACCAACCTATCACAGAGATTTCCATGAAAAACATGTTCCTTTCCCTGCGACAAACGCTACATAATGACCTGACAGCATCATTATCTCAAATTTCAAATAAGGTCCAAAATCAAGAAAAACGCATCTGCCATATCAAAAATAAATTAGGGGAAATGTGCACCACACATAACGACCTCATTGATGCACACACAGACCATGAGGCAGACATCGAACAAATCAATCTCAAATTGGCAGACTTAGACTATCGCTCCAGGCGAAACAACATCAAATTCCATGGGATCCCAGAATCCATCACCACAGACGCCATAGTCCCATACATACAACAATATATGAAAACTCTCATCCCTACCCTCACAGATGTAGAAACTGGCTGTAGATCGAGCACATCGAATCCCCAAACCATCATTCCTGCCAGCGACGGTCCCCAGAGACATATTGGCGCGCATACACTTTTTCCACGTGAAGGAAAGAATAATGATGGCAGCAAGAAATTCGATCTCCATCCCTCCAGCCCAAAAAACCATCAAATCGTTTGCAGATCTATCCAAAGCCACACTCTCCAACCGTAAGAAGCTCATCAGCATAACTAAAGCTTTACGGAATCATGGAATCGGATATCAAAGGGGGTTCCCTACGAAATTGAATGTCAAATACCAAGGCGGATTTTACACAATTAAATCCCTAGAAGCAGGCATCGAATTGCTGAAATCGTGGAACATCATCCCAGCAGACTCCCATCAACCAGCATCCAATCGGCCGCAACAGATGGAAGCAGAATGGTCATGACCAATGCTCAAGCATAATACCTCCAACCCAAATTCCCTGGGCCTCACTCTCTAACACACAAGCTGGTAAGCGGCCCCTGATCGAATATGTTGTTCGTCCAAGTTCGTCTCAAGCATGAGCTCTCGAAAGAGTCATGCTTTCTCGTGCCTCCACTTTACACAGTAGCAGATACTGCTACACGTTACTTGTGTTTTTTACCCCTGTTTTTACCCTTGATCATACACCAAGCTACCAGTCATCAGTCGCTAGAACCAACCCTCTCAACAACCCCCTCCATATAATTGAACACTCAATCCACAACAAAGACAAACCCATACTCACAAAGCCGCACACCTGGCGGGCCATCACCTCCGTCATGAGGAAAATCACTTACCTCCATAACACCTGAAACAACACAGCTATGGAATCCAAACCATCTACAATCAACAAAATGATTACTATATCTTTGCTTAATGTCCGAGGTCTCAACTCCCCCTTCAAAAGATCCCTGCTCTCAAGAGAAATCCGCTCCATTCAACCTGACATTGTATTTGTAGTCTGGGTCCAAGATGGCGTTCATAGTGGCTGCATAGTCTACAGCTCTAGCGCCTCGTCCACTAATCCGCTGCCATCCGGGCAGCGGCGTGCCACCAACAAGCGTCGGAGCTCTCCCCGACCCTGCCCTTACCTGGAGGAGGGGAGCAGAGTAATTTTGGCCTCGACTACCGTGCCCGGCATGGCGGGGCCTACCGCAGCCTGCCGCGCTCTCATCCGCGGCCTACCGTGATCTCATCCATCCGGGCCATCCCGGCTGGCCATCTTGGCCTGTGGTGAGCCCGTGAGGTGAGGCCATCGGGCGGCGACCGTGCCCAGCATGGCGGGGCCTACCGCGATCTCATCTGTGGCCATCCGGGCCATCACGGCAGGCCATCCAGGTGGCGGTGAGCCCTTGGCGGGCATCGGAGGCCTCCACTGTCCGGTCCATACCTTGGGGGGGGGGGGATCGGAGCGGGTCTGTCCCCCATCAGCTGCGGCAGACGAGCTCTGCCTAGTGAGGCCTACTGCGGCCTGCCAAGACACAGCCTGGCCCATGCCTGGAATCCATCCGCCCTTCATGTGAGTATACTTGGCATGGGGGGGGCAGCCAGCACTTATCAGACCCCCTGTGGGTGCTCCGCTGGCAGCGATTGGCATCTGAGGCCTGAAATTTTGCCAGCAAGGCCTCAATTGGGCCTGGGGGCTTGCAGTGGCCTGGGAGTCAGGAATTTGGTCTCCCTATATATATTCTGAGTCACTCTGGATCCTGGTGCCTGGGAAATCCTGTATCTTGTGGTCCCCTGTACCTCATCTGACCCCATAACAGAGGCCGGGCCAGCGTATGGTTCCCTTGCTCCTACTGCACATAAATTCTACAGCTGATATCCATCCCTCACCTCACCTCACCGACTTGACCCTTTATAGTCTAGCTTTCACTCTCTACACTCCACTGAAACTGCTCTATTATCCATCCATCCCTCACCTCCACATGTTAAATCTCATTTTTACAATATGGAAATTGTACAAAACGGAAATTGAAGCTTGACTGCATCTATGTAACTACTTCTCTGCACCGGTACCGGGCGTTATAGATCCCCTGGGGTCAATACTACCCTTGGTTATACTGTATTCAATTGATCACCCCCAGGAGATTTCCTGCATGCCGTCCACCAAAAAGAAAGTAGGGGTAATGCTAAAAAATCCCTTACGACATATTTAATGAAAACGCACAAGATTTTCAGCATGTCTCAGGATATCACGGAAAAAGCATCCCCACCTGGTCCGACACAGGATAACGCAGCCCATCCCTCAGCCCAGGACAGTGAGTACGCACAGCAACTTACAAAGGGGGATCTGGAATTTTGCCTGGAAACTATACACACCAAATTAGCCGCTAAATTGCAATCAAAACTCCATAAAAGTACAAACGTCCTCTCTCAGGAAATAGCCGCGTTGGGCTCCAGTAGCAACCATTTAGAAACCAAACACGATGAACTCTGCTTAGCTTGAACTAACGCAGGAGAACCCAAGCAGCAGGTAGATACAACAACAAGAAACTCTACTGCATGCTTGACAGACTGCAAAACAAACACCCTGGGAAACATCTCTTACAAGACTGAGTCCCACTCCGTGTACATTTTTAATATGTCCCCTCTACTCCTCCTTTTCATATTACTTTGCTGCGTACCCAAAATATCACTTCTTCATCCCTCTGCTCCACCCCAAAACTTGTACATCCCACCCTCACTGCTTCCATCTCCCTACTACTGCTCTCATCACCTCTTGCTGATACTTCACTCTCCTGCTGACCCAAACACCAGGACTGGAAGGCATGTGCGCTCGTGTACATCCCGCTCCTATGCTACCTTCCTCACCTTTCTTCTTCTCCTAACCTCTGGGGATATCTCCCCAAACCCTGGTCCTCCACTATTTCACCCACACACCAGGCATCCTTTCTTCCTGGGAATATCCACAATCCCCTCAATTTATTATCTCTGTCCCTGTGCTCCCAAAAACCACCCTCCCTTTTTCATGTGCACTCTGGAATGCCCGCTCTGTCTGCAATAAGCTCACCTCTGTCCATGACCTTTTTGTCTCCCGCTCCCTTAACCTACTAGCAATTACAGAAACCTGGCTCCAAGCAGCAGATTCTGCTTCCCCTGCAGCACTTTCCTATGGAGGCACCCTTCTTCTTTTCCTAACTGCGGGGGACATTTCCCAGAACCCTGGTCCTCCACCACCTCGCTCACCCCACAAGGCACCCTCCTACTTCCAAGAACTGCCGCAACCCCCTCAACCTAATACCTGTCCCTCTACTCCCCAAAACCACCCCCCATTTTCGTGTGCACTCCTGAACGCCATCCACGAAATGCAACAAACTCACCGCCATCCACGATCTCTTTGTCTCCCGCTCCCTCAACCTCCTAGCGATTACTGAAACCTGGATCCAAGCCACTGACTCTACCTCCCCTGCGGCAGTCTCCTATGGAGGTCTCATCTGGACCCACTCACCCAGACCCAGTGGTCAGAAAGGTGGTAGGGTTGGTTTGCTTCTATCCCCACTGAGCACCTTTCAAGTCCTCCATAACCTCCCTCTCTATCCTTCTCTTCTTTCGAGACTCGCTGCATCCGGCTGTTTTCTCCCATTTCTCTGAGGATTGCAGTGATCTATCGGCCTCCTGGACCCGTGTCCCGCTTTCTTGATGATATCTCCACCTGGCTACCCTACTTTCTCTCCTCTGAACTACCCACTATTATTCTCTGAGATTTTAACATCCCTATTAATGTCAACAACCCGGCTACAACCCAACTCTTCAACATAACCTCATCTTTTGCATTAGCACAGTGTATACAGTCCTCCACTCAGTCTGATGGGAATACATTAGACCTTGTCTTCTCTCATTTTTGCACTCCATACAACCTCACAAACACCCCCTTTCCTCTCTCTGATCACAATCTCATCACCTTCACAGTCTCCTCATCTTCAAACACCTATCCCTCCAAGCAGCAAACAATTACTCGCAGAAACCTTTGCAACTTGAACCCTGCTCCTTTCCACTCTGCAACTGACCAACTCTATGACAGAATCTCTCCACTGTCCTGCCCTGACATGGCCACTATTGTCTATAACAGTTGGCTTTCATCCACATTAGACTCGCTTGCTCCTCTAACAACACGAAGCATCAGGCCCCGACCGTTACAACCTTGGCAGACTGACCACACCAGAAATCTTAAATGACATACAGTAGTCGTGAGCTGGAGTGATTGTGGCGTAAAACCAAATCCCACCAAGCATTCACCTGATATAAATCTGCTTTCTTAACATACAATTCCTCCTTTCATGCTGCCAAACAAGTCTACTTTGTCGCTCTTATTATTACCTTCTCATCCAGTCCTCATCGTCTCTTCTCTACTTTTAACTCTCTACTTTCTCCACCTCCACCCAGTACCTCACTCACTGCTCATGAGATTGCAAATCATTTCAAAAACAAGATTGACGCAATTCGTAGGGGTGTCGCCCCTGCACAGACATCCATCCCACTTAGCATACCTTATACTAAACCTCCCTCAACAACACTTTCCTCTTTTAACCTCGCTACTACCGAAGAGGTCACTAAGGTTTTCTCAGAAGCCCATCTCACTACCTGCCCCCTGGATCCTGTCCCCTCACAACTACTACGGTCACCCTCTTCTTCCATTCTATGCTCCCTCACTCACATCTTCAATCTTTCCCTCTCTACTGGTGCCTTCCCCTCCCCTCTAAAGCATGAGCACATCACTCCCATACTTAAAAAGCCCTCCCTGGACCCCACAAACCTGAACAACTTAGGACCCATCTCCCTGCTGCCATTTACCTCTAAACTCCTAGAACGCTTAGTCTACAATCGCCTGAGCTCCCACTTCACCAACAACAACCTTCTTGACCCTTTACAGTCTGGCTTTCGCTCTCTACACTCCACTGAAACTGCCCTACTAAATCTCACTAAAGATCTACTAACTGCTAAAACCAATGGCCACTACTCTGTACTCTTACTACTTAACCTCTCTGCGGCTTTTGATACGGTTGACCATCCCCTCCTCCTCAAAAAAACTCCAAACTCTTGGCCTCAGAGACTCTGCTCTCTCCTGGTTCTCCTCCTACCTATCGCAGAGCTCCTTCAGTGTTACCTACTGTATAACGCTGCCTCCTCCTGTTCACTCCCTCTCTCCATAGGGGTCCCTCAACGTTCTGTCCTTGGACCCCTTCTCTTCTCCATCTACACCTCCTCCCTTGGTTACTTGATAAACTCCCACGGCTTTAAGTACCATCTCTATGCTGATGACACACAAATCTATCTTTCTACCCCTCACCTCACCCCTTCAGTCTCCACTCGCATTACTAACCTACTAAGGGACATATCGGTATGGGTGTCACTCCACTTCCTCCAACTCAATCTTTCCAAAACTGAGCTCTAAGTATTTCAACCAGCCCGTGCCCCCTCCCCTGATTTCTCCATCAAGATCAATAACACAATAAACAGTCCCTCCCCTCATGCCAGGGTACTAGGTGTAATACTAGACTCCCATCTGTCCTTTCAGCCCCAAATCCAATCACTGTCCAAATCGTGTAGACTTTACCTCCGCAACATCTCCAAGATACGACTGCTCCTAACCTCGGAACCCACTAAGCAACTTATTCACTCCTTAGTTATATCTCGCCTTGACTATTGTAACTCCCTCCTCATTGGCCTACCTCATCGCAGGCTATCCCCTCTTCAGTCTATCGTGAATGCTTCTGCCAGACTCATCCACCTTACTGACCGTTCTGTATTGGCCACCCCTCTCTGCCAATCCCTCCACTGACTTCCCGTTGCCCAATGGATAAAATTCAAAACACTAACAATAACGTATAAAGCCATTTATAACTCTGCCCCAAATTACATCACCGATATTGTCTCCAAATACCACCCAAACCGTACTCTCCGCTCCTCGCAAGACCTCCTACTCTCTAGCTCCCTTGTCTCCTCCTCCCATGCTCATCTCCAGGACTTCTCCAGAGCTTCCCCCATCATATGGAACACTCTACCCCAATTTATCAGACTATCACCTAATCTGATCACTTTTAGGCAATCGCTGAAAACCTATCTCTTCAGGGAAGCCTATCCTGCCCTCAGCTACTGGAATCTTCTACTCTTCCAACCAGTCCATCCCCCACAATTACTACCTTTTCTATCACTAGCCCCTCCCTCCTAGATTGTAAGTTCCAAGGAGCAGGGCCCTCAAATCCCTCTTGTATTGAACTGTATTGTTACTGTATTGTCTTCCTTTATATTGTAAAGCGCTGAGCAAACTGTATAATAATAATAATAATAATTCCTACAAGAGACTCACTTTGCCTCATCCAAAATCCCTAAACTCAATATTCCTCACCTCTCCACAGTATATATGGCAACAAACCGGAAAAAGAAAAATGGCATCATTACAGCCATAAGAGACTCCCTGCAGTTCCAATTTATCTCAGCAACAGCAGACCCACAAGGCCACTACCACATATTGATCTGCAATATCAATGATACTACATACTGTGGCAGGAGGTCAGGAAGAACTATGGGATGTATTCAAGATGGGAGATATATTTGTCCCAGGTTTATGCTCTACACTGACTGTTTTCCTGTTGTGCTGTGTGATGAGCCTGTGTGGCTCACTGTGGATAATTAGCTCAGGTGTAGTGCATTAAGGGCTCTGGGCTCTATAAAACTCCCAGGCTGCATAGGGAGATTGCTCTATCCTGGAACCAGTTGGCTGTGTAAGACAGACTGGGGAGCAACCAAACCAACCTATGGTGAGAAACAATCTCTGTGATTTTGGAACTGTGTGAACACCCTGGGTCTGAGCAGTGGTAGGCTGCATACAGACCGCTAGATAGGAAAGCTGTGTGTTGTAGTTAGTAGCCCAGTGTGGCCAGGATTTATTTTTTGTTTTGTTTGTTTTGCTGGGTTTTTTTTTTATGCACTGTGTGTTCACTGGACTTTGTAAATAAATGCACAAAATTTATTCACCAAGTACCTGCTGTCATGCTGAGCCTCTGTTTATGGTGTTCTGACCCATCCAGGGGGTCAACCACAACCCGCTAGTGAGCTAAGCCCTCACATATGGTGGAGGTTTGCGGGCACGTGAAGTAAGGCCAGCATGGAGGAGATACTAAGACAGCTTGCTTTGGCAAATGCAAATCAGCAGAGAACAAATGCAAGTGTGTAACAGAGCCTTGCAGCCCAGCAGCAAGCCCTGGAACAGGCGGAGGCCCGCCATAGGGAATCATTGGAACAGCAGGAACGGATACATCAACAGCAAATGGCGGCCATCACAAAACAGCTTCAGCAGAGGCAGCAGACGGAGGCTGGGAGTGATTCTACTACCATACCATCTTTTCGTGTAAAGTCACCTGCTGCCAAAGATGACTACAGATGAGGACCCTGAGATGTTTCTCACCACTTTTGAGAGGACAGCTGCAAAAGAAAGTTGGCCTAAAGAGCAGTGGGCTGGACTAGTGGCCCCCCTACTATCCGGTGAGTCCCAAAAGGCTTATTTTGACCTTGAGCCTAAGGAAGCCAAGGACTATGATCGCTTAAAAATGGAAATTTTGGTGCGGCTGGGCGTAACCCTGGCTGTCCGGGCTCATCGGGTACACAATTGGAGTTATCGACTGGGAAAACCACCTCGATCCCAAATGTATGACCTCATTCATTTGACCAGGAAATGGCTGCAGCCAGATACACTGTCTGGACCAAAGATTGTAGTAAGGGTGGTGATAGACAAGTTTCTGAGGTCTCTCCCTACTACCTTGCAGAAATGGGTGAGTCATGGAGATCCGGAAACAGCGGACAAACTTGTGGACCTTGTGGAGAGATATTTAGCGACTGAAACTCTTACGTCTTCCCTCAAGGACTCACGGACTTTCCACCCCAAGACCAGACCATCCCCGGCTGTGGGTAAGATTGCACCAAGGGATGGGGGTGGAGAGAATGGAAAAGGGGGAATGAAAGGTACTTTTGGGACTGTTTCGAATATCTGTCGCGAGCGGTCTGGAAGGCCCAACCCGCCAGAGGGGAGAAGAAGGATAATCTGTTACCGCTGCCGGGAAGAGGGACATGTAGCGGCGGATTGCCCAAGTACAGATGAACCAATGCACTGTGACTTTCTTACAGAGACCGCAGTCCCTCTTTGCAGCGGTTACTTACACTGCTGAAAAGGGAAATGAGAAACCTTTTTTCCAAATGTGTATTGATGGTAAAAATGTT